GATCAATAGTGGTTTAGACATATCCAGAGGAGGGACTGTGGTTTGGACATGTTCAGAGGAGGGACAGTGGTTTGGACATGTCCAGAGGAGGGACAGTGGTTTGGACATGTCCTGTGGAGGGACAGTCGTTTGGACATGTCTAGAGGATGTACAGTCTTTTGAACATGTCCAGTGGAGGGACAGTCATTTGGACATGTCTAGAGGAGGGACAGTGGTTTGGACATCATATATAGGATTAACAGTGGTTTGGACATGTTCAGAAGAGGGACAGTAAGTTGGACATGTCCAGAGGAGAGACAGCGGTTTGGACATGTCCAGAGGTCGGACAGTCGTTTGGACATGTCTCAAGGATGGACAATGTTTTGGACATCACATAGAGGATCAACAGTTGTTTGGATACATCCAGAGCATGGACTGGGGTGTGGACATGTCCAGAGGAGGGACAGTGGGTTTATTGATAGAAGGATGTTTGAAAAGCAGCTGCCTGAGAAAAGATAAAGAGGAGATATATGGATGCAATTAAAAAGGACCTGGAGTGAGTTGGAGTGAGGACATAGGACACAGAGGACATGGTGAGGACAAAGTGAGATTGAGGAGGATTACTCACTGTAGAGACGTCTGAAGATGTAAAAGCTGAAAAAAGAAGTCACATTGAGTCAAGAGGACTCATTTTCAAGAGAGACCTGTTTCTTTTTTACAAACCATCTTTAATTTTCTGTTTTGTTCCTGAAAGACAGTAAATTAGTTCACCCCTATTCAAAAGTGAAAAAATACTTTTAAAAAAATTCTGGTTTTACAAAAAACAAAATAATAATAAGATGAGCTCTGGTGTTTAAAGTACATTTCTACCTGAATGAAAACAACGAACATGCATGCATGCATGTGAGCATGTGAGCATGTGAGTATTTACACTGAGCATGCATCAGAACAACAAACACAGCAGTTCGGGAAGTTTAAAATATCTTTGGCTGCTCTGTCCTGTTTTGTGTTTTTAAAAAACATCTTCAATATAAAACAGTGATTCTATGTTTCTTCTGCCAGTCATCAATTCAGTTCAGTTCAATTCAATTCAATTCAATTCAGTTTATTTATATAGCGCCAAATCACAACAAAGTTGTCTCAGGGCACTTTGCAGAAACATTCACAAACATAAAAGCCAATTAGTAAAGTTCTCTATCTAAGGAATCCAGCAGACAAGATGAATCTTGGCTTTGTTGCAGTCTCCCATCATCCCCCTCTGGTCCCACAAACTGTTCCAGATGGGCTCTGCACCGCATGTGGTCCAGGAGGTCCTGTACCTCACGTAGTCCAGGAGGTCCTGCACCTTGTCCTGCACTCAGAACTGCTGGAGTCGTGACAGAACCAGGACCAGTAGAAGTGATGAAGACTGATGTTTGCAGCACTGACTGCATGTCAATCTGACTGATGTTCTTCCATGTCAAAGCCGAGGTCTGACTGGGAGTCATCAATAATCCTGGAGGAAGCTTGAAACGTGGATCTTTGGAAAACGTTACTGTTTTTCTGTCCATCTGAGATTCTCATCTGGATAAAAATGTTAAGATGTCTGACATTAAATGTCAGTAAAAAGATGTTTGAAGGCTCTCTGACCTTGTTTCTGAACGCTAATGTAACGTCTTTCGTTTTTATTTGACCAATCTTCGTTCTGCAGGATGCTGGTGATAAATTCATGATCATATCTGGGAAAGATAAAAATGTTCAGGTAATAATTAGATTACAACGATGTGTGTAAAGATATGTGTCCCACGTTTTAAATCCAACTCAGCAGCAATTAGTCAGGATTATTACACTTTATTTATGTTTTATTGTTACTCACCATCATGAGATGCAAGGCATCATGTAAGTGTGCATGTTTGTAAGTCTGTCTGTTAGCAAAATATCTCAGGAACCCCTGGATGGACCTCAATAAAACTCTCAGAATTATTAAAAACAAAAGTTAGTAGGTTCAATCAGCCGGGTGGATAACAACAAAAAAAAGGTTAAATCATTTAGAGAAACTGGTCCAGATGAAATGATTGAACCTTTTTTGTTCTCAGAATTATTCATTTAATTATTCAAACATTAATTAATCGTAGATGTTCATCTACAACTGATGAACTTGTGGAGTCAGTCCAATTAAAAATGGCCACCTGAGCTAATTCGCATTAATAAACACTAACGTGGTTGTAAATTATGGAGCGTGCAATTGACAAAATTAAACAAGTAAATATATCATGAAATTTTTAAAAATGTAAAATTATTTTTTTTATTTAAAAATTAAATTAAAAGAACCTAAATATACAACTAAATTTAATGAAAAAATGATTGAAAATGACATTTTATTATGTAATGTCATTATTTAAAAAGCATATTTATTTATTTCATGGGACATTAAATTAATTAATCGTGCATTTAAAAATTTAATGATGTATCAAATAATTAAATTATACATTTTATCATCCTGAGTTTGGTAGTAGCTGAGAGTCATCCCTGACACATTCTCTTAAAGCCAACATCTCAGTTTAAAACAACCTGAAAAATCGCTGCTGATGGGATTAAATCCCTGCTATAACCCTAAGTTTATGTAATTATGTTGTTTCAAAACAAGAGATGATATTGAAAATCAGGACAACAGATTGTGCTTTTTTTAAAATTACATTTTAACAATAATCAAGAGTCAGTGAATATTACCCCCATGTTAGATATTTAGAGTTATCAATAATGTGTTTAATGATGATGAATTGCTTCTGAAATGAGCAGAGTTTAGTTTTTGCTGCTGAGTTTTCAGAGAATCATAAAGTCAGGAGTAAAAAATAGTTAATAGAAAAAAGAGTTTTGTTAATAAACCAAGAGCCTAAAATAAACCCCAGTCTCGTGGGAAAAATAATTTCTTATTTTTTATAATAATCAAAAACTGTAAAAAAAAAAAAAACCTCTGACGCTGTAAGATGATATATTTTTCATTATTTTAACAACTTCTTGAGAATGACTTGATTTTATTTATCTGAAGTAACAGTGCCATCTAGTGGTGACGATAAATAACGTTTCATTATTTTGCTTTGCCCCCCCCCCCCCCCCCCCCCCCCCCCCCCCCCCCCC